CGGCAACTGTGTGATGCCATCATGTCAATGTGGACCAAACTCCCTGAGGAATGCTTCCAGCACCTTGTTGAATCTATGCCATGAAGAATTGAGGCAGTTCTGAAGGCAAAAGGGGGTCCAACCCGTTACTAGCATGGGATACCTAATAAAGTGGCCAGTGAGTGTATATCATTATTGAATCCTTAAGCCTATATTTGTGATGAAAATGACCAGACAAATACACAAGATTTTTTTTAATTTGAAACAAGAAAACATATGCATTATAATAAATACAAAGTTGCATTGCTTTATCGTCCATGTCTAAAGTCAAAGAATATTATCTACCAGTAAACGCAGAAAAGAAAATTCATTTTGTCTGCAAAAAGAGTGTATTAATGGCCTGAGATGTTCTACGTTTGTACCCTTAGAAAGCTTATTGCAAGTTTTCTTACCCTTGCAATAGTATCTATCTGACTTTATTCATAAGGCAAAAAAACGTTTCTGGTTAGTCCTACATATAAATTTAAAAGGACAGTCATTATCTTGTCAGAGTTCTCTAGATGTTCACATATCAACCTGAGAGAAATGATGCAGCTCATCATCTGCTGCATCATTCATATTTCTCCTTTCCCAACACTTCATATGTCCGTTTACCTGGATTTCCTTCAATGGAAGGATACTCCTGTCTCACATATTCAACAAACCCATCTTTAACTCAATTCTTCACTCTTTTTTTTCTTTGATCCTCCACCCAACCACACCCTCTTCATCCTCATGTTGTCAATTCCCTGTCATCCCATCCAAAGACTATACATCATACTGTGACGACCCCGTGTGTTTATCACCTGGTAAACCAACAACTAAACCACTCTTTGATTGCACTGCCTGCTTGTAGAGTGATACATGCATGGATAACACAGTTTTGAGTCGGATGTGCTGATCTATGTTTTGGATGTTTTCTGGTACTTTGCCTTGATTTCCTCCTTTTAGAGTGTAAATCAACACTGATTCAGCTTGAATCACCTGATGTGCCCCAAGGTAAAAATAACTTTCTTCCACCAGCCATCAATGTGTTATTTGGGCTCCTTTATATTGCTGCTGTAAATGACCATGAATTGGACTGCAAGAGTAAGCCATCTTGCAGACAGAAAGATAAGGATTTGAATCAAGATTCCTCTTGCCACATGCCAATTTGCCTCTGGGCAAGACACTCACTTCAAATTGCCTATTGATCTGCATATCCATGCACAAATCTATTTGCCTTTTCTGAGTTTAAACAATCTCGTATATGTCTTGTGTAAAACACTTTCAGGAAACACAAAAAAACGCCTTATAAATGCAGTCAATTTGTAATAGCGAATTCAATAGTCCTTGAGAGATAAATGGAGGGGAACTTAAATGCAGATCAAATTTAAAGATTACAGCTTTTTAAACTGTTAGCAGTTTTATATCTGTTATTCTTACATCTGTGTGCCAAAATGAGATGAAAACTATTCCATTCAGTTTATAGATTATTGCAGTTTAAGATAAAAACGCACAGTAAGAACGCAGATCTTTCTTAATTAAACCATTAATTTGTTTTCACCCCCACCTCCCACCCACCCTTAAAATAACTTTTGCTGTAATTGTGCAGAATTTTACATTCCACAGACAACAAAATGTATCCTCTGGCAGAAAGCCTGCTGTAAAGTCTATCCAAACAATTTCAACAGTTTACCCAATGCAAATAAAATTGCATTAAATAAATTCTAGTTATATGATGGTAGAAGACTATAGTTTGCTGTTTTATATTGAAGGCCTTGCTGCTCCTAGGAAATAGTGCTAACAACCTTAAATTGCGCTGCTCGCAAAGTGAATGCAAGATAATGATACATATTCTCAAAGTAGCTTTATGCAAATGTTAAGAATGCATCACAGTTTTTAATCATTTAATTTGATAATACCAATAAAAGCTGATTCTGGTTCTTTTTTTTTTTAAAGAACTATAAAAAAAAACATAAACGCATTCGTCATAATGACCCATTACAATGCCCCCTAACTTGGCCTTATGTCCAGTCAACCACAATCCCTTAATGACTACACTTTGACATTTGTACCTGCCTTTTGTTATTTTGTTAGTTGAACATGATGGCAAAGATCATGTGAAAAGAAAACAGCAGAGTTGGTTTTAAAGAAATACTTTGAGAAGTGATCTTTTATCACAGTGTAGATCATTTATATGAGAAGGACAGCATTGTATTAATATTACTGTGTTAATATTCTACTGAAATATCCCCTGTTCTTTGCCATTTTCATTGTCTTCCCTGCAAATAAGAGAGTGTATAAACCCAAACATTATTGCCCGCGAGGAGGCTGTGGTGAAAACTGTTTATCTCACAGCAGAGTTTGACCTTTCAGCTGATGTAGAAGCCTTATTTACTGTATATATAGGGACGGATGCTTTTACATAAGGCCATAGTGCTTCACAAATACAGGCATGTTAGAGAAATTATACAGTTGGTCAGTTCAAATGTTGTCAGCAAAGCCAGTGCTACTAAACAGCAGTCTCTGTGTTAAATCTAAGGGAATGTAGATCCTTGTGTTTCCTGAGATTTCCTAAAAGATGCTTTTCCTAAACCAGCATGGACTCTGTTCAGCCTTCATGTTATCTGGTTTAAATCATGCTCTCTCTTACGCTCTCAAAGTCAAAACTGTTGAATTCTAGACAACCTGACTCATCTCTACTTTATGTTAATCAGAATAAATTCATTTAAAACCTGTTGCAGATGCACACTTAAAACCTTTAGCAAACAAATTAAATGTAACCAGGATTAAGGTTTTTAAAGAGCTTTTCATGAACATCTGTTTGTCTCTTTCAGTACATGTGTAATTCACCCATAATAATATTCGTTTTTGGAGTGGTACAAATTGCTAAAGATATTTTCAAATTATTATTTCTGACATTACAGGAAAACACTAAGAGAACCAAACACGCTCAGGATAAAACAGATAGGAAGGTACTTACTCCACTGTTTCAGAATTACTTTATAAGGACCTTACTGTACTTTGGGTGACGAAATTCTTTTAGTAAATTACTTGTTGTTTCACAATGTGCAATATACAATATATTTGCAATTCCCCATATTTTCAAAATATCACTTTTATAAATGTTTTTACTTTCTATTTTTTAAGGTTAGTTTTGTTTAAATCGTAATAATTTTATTTGCAAAGTATGCTGCTGCTTTGTGCCTGCAATCTAAAAGACAAGATCAGTTTTAGTACAATGTATATGCTTAAATAAAAACTAACTTCCTGTTCAGAAAATTGAAAAAAAAAAAAAAAAAAAAGATCTCTGATGCATGTTACTCTAATTAAAAAGTTAATGAGAGATTGCCTTATATCTGTGCAGACAATGTCAGAGGCAGAAGACCAGGTAAAATGCTTACATTTTTCTTTGCATGTGTGTTGTTGCTTTTTTTTTTTTTTTTTTGCTGTGGTGTTCTCCGGCATTTATTTTTTTGAAAACTTGCATATGAGTTTTTTTTTTTTCCAACTCAAAAAGAATATTCTATGGTCTTTCCATACTTCTCTCTCTTTTTATAGTGTACTTTGTTCTTTCCTTCTCTTCAGAACCAGCGTTCATCATCAAATTGGTTTGTTATTGTTTTTAATGGCATGTTGGTGTCTCTTGCTCAGGTCTCCCCCCTCCTGCTGCCATCGCAAAAAGAGGTATAAAGGCTAGAGGTAGGCTAAAACATGGAGCATTCACTTATCATTGCCAAACTCTAATAATGAGTACAAGTCAATCTCAGACATCTGTCATGAAAAATGAGTCTGAGTTTCATAATTATTCCACTCATTGTGGCATATTTGAAAACTAGGAAGAAGTAACAGAAATATACTCACATATGCATTAATAAAAAAGTTTGAGAGAGGAATTGTTGTATATGACAGCCATCTTCATCTGAAATCATGATGTTTCTCAAACCCTAAATAAAACCTTTAAATATGGCATGAACCAAGTGGTCATGTTGCTAGAGGTTTCCTTCACACCAGAGTAAGACTGCTCTATAGTATGAAACACGAATGTTCTCTATTGGGTCTCAGTAACATCCTCTAGGTACATCTACAACAAAGGGAAGAAAGAATAACTTGAAGAAGAAGAAGCAGGTTGATCTCATGCCAAGACAATAACTTCACAACACCAACAGGGGGTTTGCACGCCTCCAGTGATTTATATTCCATCCTGTTCTGGATTCAACCAAAGAATGTCTCACAAAGCAGCGGAAATCAAAAATCAGTACGACTGATTGCACAAAGGGACAATGCCTCCAAATGGAGAGTTGCTTAAAGAGACTGAAGGAAGTCAGTTACACTTTATATCTTGCAAAATGCATGTCGGCTGTCAAAAAGAAACTTATATTTTGCAAAGAGAGGAGAAGGAGAGGGAAAAGCATGAACAGCACTAGGGTTTAGGGTATATTTCTAAAAAGGTTTTTGCCCAACTCATAAAAAAAAGGACTTATAGTGTAAGTGTGATGAGCTAATTATAATCAGAGGTGGAATATATGATTTTATGTGTAAGATCTTTCTGATCATACTAACATATCAGTTCTAAAGGATGCAGTACACACAAAACATCACATATTTAAAGGGAAATTCTTCCTTCATGAGGATATAACCGAATGCAGAGGTGCTTAAAGTGGTGGTAAGATTGTGATAGATGGTTGTAATTAAGATCTGCTGCAAACTAGTAACATTTTAAGAGTCTTAAGGGTCTTAAATAGCGTAATGCAGTCAAAAGGAATTATGGAAATATAGATAGAAGTATCCAAGTAAACTGAAAAATAGCGCTTGTAATGTAGTGTCATACACACAACTCTTATTTAAGAAATGAAGAAATAATAGAGTAATCTGTCTGCTTTTAAGGAAACCAGCTTTCATTTTGGATTTATTTTTTTCTGAGCACTAAATGAAAAAAGTCCAAAATAAAGTGAAGTTCTTTCAAAAGCAAGTGATAGTGTCCTTAATGAGAGCTTCTTAGATGTAAAAACACATTAATATTTTATAATAAATTAACTTGCAGCTGTAAAAAAAAGTATTACGAATTATTTATGTTATTCTTATTTTTTTAGCTGCTCTTCGTTCACTAAAACCAAGCTCTGCCGGAGTCCATGGTGATATCGCTCCTCATGAGAGCTCTGATTGGATGGAGATGATATGGTCCTTTGCAGCAAGTTTAGTCGCTCCCGAAGAGGAAGAGGAAGGTATTCACCAGCTAACTGAAACCTTCACATGTAAGAAACATCCCCTCAAACTAATTTACTTCCAAATAATGGAAATTACTTATTAATGACCTTATTCTCATCCCTAATGGTATTTTATTAAGCTCATACATTCTCACACTCATAATTACATGTCTGCTGGGGTTGGAGTTGGAATGAATATAAATATGAAGGTTATAACTCAATTTAACACGGAGATGATCAGCTGTAAATATCCTGATTCATTAATATAAAGGTATTAGGTCTGGTTCTTCGAAAAATTTTACTAATTAACTTATAGCATGCAGAAGAGAAAGAGGTTAAATATTTTAAGGAAAAAACTGACTTTATTCAGAGATGAATATATTTCAGACCAAAAATAAACCTGATTCTTTATGTATTCCGTTTATGATTTTTTTTAATGTCACATTTTTGCATTTTGAAGGGAAATATATTCATGAGAATTCATAGGAGTTAAAAGCACTGGACTGATTGCGTTACATACATTATTAATGTTTTGTTTTGTTTTTTTCATTGTGTTTTGTAGCTTTCAGCTCAGAGGAACTTTGAGGGAAATGAGGTGGAAAAAATACAAGAAACCAAAAGAAATATGTGGAAACTGGAAGGAGATGGAGCAGAATTATTTGCATCATATCAAAGCTTTTATTTTATTTTCTGTTTACCCTTAGCTGTACTCTGATCATTAAAGACTTCAGTTAAAATATTGTCCTTGTTTCCTTGTGATTTAGAAAAGTAATATTGGTTGCTTTTTATCTGTGCTTTTCATGGCTTATCAGATTTTCGCTTTTGTGCAACTTTAATAAACTAAATCCACAGCTCAAGCATACAGCATATATATATATATATATATATATATATATATATATATATATATATATATATATATATATATATATATTTATTTATTTATTTTTTTAACATACACACAGATCATGGACTTTCTTTTATCCATCATGCATCGTGTCCTCTTAAAGGGGTATAATTATTACAGAAATGTATGAAATAGAAATAAAAATAAAAAGAAAGTAGTTTGAGCACATATTTTGTCATAAACTAACTCAATAATAAATCAAATAAACGCTTGCCCAATATGATAATTATGCCCATCAGTTTTAACTTTATCATGTTCTACACTACTCTATTTATAGGGCTCTACATAAAGCAGCTTATATTTATTTTTATTTAAAAATCTAATTAAAAACCCTTACATTTATACAGATTGTAGCTTTTGAAAATGCAGTTTATCTCTTAATTTAAAAAACTGAAACTAAACACATGGGCATCATTTTAGGTGGTTCAGGCTTGTTGTTGTAAAAATATAGACACACTGATAAGCATAGTGGCAATATAAAATTGCAACCAATGTTTTACCTTCCTCCCCTTTGCCCCTTTCACACTACATCTATCTGCACAGCAGGGGGCTTAAGTTGAATTTGACCTTTGGCTAAACCGTTCCCATATCGACTTTAGGCACATTGAGAAGAAACAGAAAAAAATGCTTGCATGGAAAACAGCCTGGCCTCCATAGTGGATCCCCACAGAGAAAGTTACAGTAAGCATGCTAGGATAATTGGCACAAAAATGCCCTCTAAAAATGCAATAAAAATAAAAGCAGAAAGTCCATAGGTAATGAATGTACTGCCTGATGCTTTTTGGGGGATTTATTTATTATCTTTACAGTTTGGCAGGCTGCGCCTAAAAGCTGCAGTCCACGTTTATTTTTTTGCCACCTCTTAGGTGTAGGCAGATTTCAGTCACTTATTTTCATTCTTCTTTTTTTCTTTTAGTAAGGAATAATTTAACAAGCCCTAATATAGCAATCTGAAAAACAACATTTGTTCTGGTTAATGAAGCATTTTAACTCAGAATTATCACATCAAATCTTTAAAACGATGTTTTATTCATTCTAAGTAAGCTGTGAAAAAATGCCTGATCTGACTAACTAATCCTTGTTATGAAGGTCATGTTATTTCATTTTTGAGGATTTTTTTAAATTAAGAGTTGAGTGCAAAATTTTGAGTTCATTTTGAATTCTTTTTTTATAAATATGCATAAAAATCCTTCAGCAGATTCCAGGGGAACCTTGTGTTTTTGTCTGTAACCATCAATAAGCTTTTTGCATGATTTGGCTGGATATTTTGAGCACTGTTCTTAGTTGAAATACCAGAGTTTATTAAAAGTTAAAGTTTCCTGGTATGGTTGGAACCGTGGGACAATTTCCAAAGCTGAAGGTTGGGCTGCATGTAGCATCCTACTACCAGTATTGATTAATGTCTGCGATCATCTGAGGTAGCAGCCAGCTGTTTCCATGTTTCAATCAGAAAGCTGTGGATCTAAGGTGAGTTAAATTTTTTCCCCACCTTTTGTAAAGAGCAGGTTGTGAAGCATGATGCCAACAACACCATGCCTGACAATTTCAACAGTGACCACTGGTTGGAAATCCTCACTATGAGAAATATCCTTTTCATTGTGAAAGAGTTTCATTGTAAATGTCATAATAGGTTTCTGGATGCTAGCCCATATGCAGATCACAACTGAGGCAGGGAAAAAGTTCAAAGGTTTAATAAAGAAGAGGTGCAAAAACAGGTCATGGGGGGGTGATCAGGTCCAGGGCTGGTTACGGCTGGGTTACTGTCCTGGAGCTTGAGCTGAGCAGCAGAGGGGAAGAAAACCAGGAGGGTTCAGAGGCTAACGGCAGGCTGAGGGCTTGGTGGAGGCTGAGCTTGGTTAGAGCTTGTAGATCTCCAGGTTTGAGTTTCCCTTCCAGATTCTTCTGGGAGCAGGCTGGCTGATCTTTGACAGGTTAGGTTCTCCAGGTTTCTTCTGAGATCAGACAGACAGATTTCCACCAGAGAAACTCTTCAGGGGGTTTCCGGCAGGTTTATCCTGGGAAGCAGAGAAGACAATACGGATCAGGTTCTGGTTCAGGTATTGTAGTCAGGAGACTAGACAGACAGGTTGCTGTACCGTAACTGACTAACACTCTGGCACTGGAGTGTGGTTCTCAGCCTGCTTAAGTACTGGTCTCCTGATGAGCAGATGAGGAACAGCTGGTGAAGTCAGCTCCAGCTTCAGGAGATCCAATACGCCCTCTGGTGGAGAAAGGTAGACAGAACCCCAGATCCCAACAGTAACACATAACCACTAGGAAGGGATACTTGGCGCCCTCTGGTGGGCAAGCCTCAGGATCCCAACAATAAAATATATCTTATACTGGGCAATTACTAAATGTTATGATTGTCTTGAGCCTTGGTGTTTTATTGCAAATCTAATCAATTCCCCTTTATTTTGATATTGGTGTTAATGCGATATGGGTAAAAACTGGACAGAGCTTTGAGTTCCTATATGGCAGTGAACCCAGATGCATTAAAACCAATGTGAGAGTGAATAAAATAGGCTAAGATTAAGCTGATAAAAGGACTTCCCCAAATCCCCAACCACAGAGCTGTTAAAAATTCATAAACCCTGTTTAAAAGCAGAATAAGCAAACAACCGAAGTGCTCTAATAAGAAAGGTGGTCCATTACCCAGTAAGAACCATGACCAATGTATTGATGCTGAGGGACATTTAGGTACATATTACTGGTGTTTTAACAATACATTTCACCCCATCTGCATGGTTTTTTTAAGATAAATATTAGACTTAAGCACATTTTACACTGTGCGATTTTTGTCCTTTTCGCTGTGACTTTCCAGTCTGGCGAGAATTTTCTGATTGGCCCAACTTTCAGCCTGATTGTGCATCCGGTAGTGTAATGGGGTTAACAAGGGGTGATAAGCCTCTCAAGACCCCTTTCCCGATCGGGAATCATGAGGTCGGTAGAAAATCAAACATGTTTGATATTCAGTCAACCGTCATGGGCAAATCGCTCAGTGGGCATGTGCAAACAAGGATTCTTCTTCCTCTCAGATTAAAATGCAGGTGGATGGCGGTGGTGCAAGTAAAACCAAGTTCTTTCTGTAAAATTGAGACAACTGAAAAAATCATACAGTGTATGCCCGGTCGTAGACTCAACTTTATTTATCCCTTGAGATAAATCCTTCAGGGTAATTCTGGTTCCAGTAACTTATATAGAGTACAAAGAGTTAAAGCAAGATGCTATCAAAGGCAAAAATGCAAAAGACAATACGAAAAGAGTGTATATAGAACAAAACAGCATAAAAAACTTGTAATGTGAAATATGTTTCCTTTGAATATAAAATTATCTGCACAGTAGAGACCCTGGAGAGTTGCATTATTGTACTTGCACTGCAGAAATGTACTGACCTTATAAATAAGTTTAAAAAAATTACACAGGCTACACGGTAGTTGGCATGTGTTATTGCACAGTGAGAGAGAAAAATATTGCACGAGTGACAATAGGTAATGTTTTGCTAAAGGTGGAAAAGAGGGGGGTACTGACATTTGACCCTCTTCTTATCACCTCCTCCTTCTCTCAAGTGAGGAGTTATACAGCTTGTTGCTTGAGGAACAGAGGAGTTCAGCAGTCTGTTGATCCTGCATTTGGGGCGGAGCAATCTCCCTCTGCTCAGGCTCCTCTGAGTGGTGAAGACAGTGTGCAGAAAGTGGCCATAAGTAGTTTATTAAGTCTCCTTGTCTCTGCCACTGTCCCCAGAGAGTCCAGTTTCTTGGCGATCACAGAGCTGGCTCACCTGACCAGTTTGTCCAGTCTGGAGGTGTCCTTCATGGATGTGCTGCATCCCCAGCGCATCACGGTGTAGAACATCTCCTACAGCTTATCACAGATGTTGAACGACCCGAGTCTCCTCAGGAAGTACAACCTTCTCTGTGTCGTCCTGTGCGTTGTATCGTCATTCAATTTACATTTTTGTGTCCAATTATTATGCTTAAAATGTATTAAAGTTGCTTGTGGCAGTCATAACAATGAATTAGCCATTTTTAATATTTTTATTACATTAATGAACTGCATCTAATGTGAGTTAAATCATATTTCAAAAAGTATAAAAATCAAAACAATGGCATCTAAACAAACAATCTAGTAATATAAATATGAGTTTAAACAATATCTCCTGTTTATTTGTTTGTTTGTTTTTTTCTAGTGCAAAGTCATACTGATATACAAAGTTATCTTTTTAATAATGTTTGCCGGAAACTGTTACTAAGGCTAGCTGGGGGTCATCTCTCCACACCAACACAACAAAAATGTCAAAGCGGGTAAAGAGGTTCAACAGCCCTTGTTGTGGTTTCATCTCTGCCATCAAAATGTAAATTACAGTTAATTATATCAGTGAGATGATCTAATGACTTAAGAGCGGTTAATTTCCAAATAATTGGCAAAAAAACTACAGACACACACTAACACACACGTTCACACACACCTGGTTTGGATTCCCGGCAGTAAAAGCTATGAATAATGGATCTCAGTTTTCCCTGGCCTGAGGGAGAAGCTTTTAAACGTAATTTGTTGCTTTAATTTATTTACACAACCTGGCAACATCAGCCCTCAGGCTGGGTGCATTATACAGAGTCCCACACCCGGAGAAAAGTACACACTCACACACACTTCTGACACTGCTGATGTGACAGACACCCATCTGCACCCGGAATAAGGCACGGTCGGAATTTCTTGGATGCACGTGTGATTTAAGAGGCAACTTTTTCACACGTCGATGATAGATAAAGTGATAATTAATAGTATTTATCGTCACAAATCCCAGTTTTCCCTTTTAGACGTCCCCGGTG